TGCCCGCACATGCTCTTTGCACTTGTGTTTGTGTCTTTGTGTTGCTGTTACTCTGTTCTGACTCTCGTGACTCTCCTGGTATCTGATTCGGCTTGTCTTGACTATTCTTTGTGTTCTCCTTTGATCTGACCCTCTGTTGCTGAACCCGGCTCGTGACCTGTGATTCTCGTCTGCTGTCCTGTACTGTTCTGTCCTGTTGTTGTTGACCCCGGCTTGTCTGACTACTCTTTTGTCTCTTCCACCAGCTACACGCCATTGGCGGCGGCCATTACCGCAGCTGAGGTGTCTCGGGGGCCGCGACCTGGTTCCTGGCTGCGTCAAGTCCATCCCCACATCAGGGGCCCTGGTGAAGGCAGCTGGGACTTAGACTCCGCGCCCTGAGGACTTTGGTCTGTGGGTGGTGGTTGTCGTCAGCCAGTGCGTTACATTTGTTAGGCCTGCTGTCCGTTCCTCAGCTCCTGCCTGACAGTAAGCAGGACCTTTTTCTAATTTTTTTTTATTAACAATTCTTACAGATAATAAACATAAAATACATATGAATATATAAATGGGAGGAAGGGCCTCTCCCTGTCTTCCTCCCAGGGTCCCTCTGTCCTCATCCAGGGTCCCTGTCCTCATCCCAGGGTCCCTCTGTCCTCATCCCAGGGTCTCTCTCTGTCTTCATCCTAGGGTCTCTTTCTGTCTTCATCTAGGGTTCCTCTCTCTCCTCATCCTAGGGTCTCTCTCTGTCCTCATCCCAGGGGCCCTCTCTGTCCTCATCCTAGGGTCCTCTTTTTCTTCATTCTAGATTCACTCTCTGTCCTCATCCAGGGGTCCCCTAAAAATAAACTGTGATAGAGTGCTCAGTACAGTAAGGGCTTGTTTACATTTGCATTTGGGGGTGGTAAATCCCCATAGTTGAAACCTGTTTTTACCTTCCCCAACCACACCCCTTTAGCTGCAGTGGCCAGGGGTGTACACATATTGCAGCCCTGAAGGAATTATACACCCTGTCATGCTTGGCAGGTGTAACGCCTGCCAAGGTGACCCATTCAAGTGAATGGGGTCACTCTGCAACCTTGTGCAGTACAGCAACCAAGGGGTTAAAGCAGGCAGTGAGGAGATGTTGTCTCAGCTCCTTACCACCTGCTTTAACCCCCTTGGATCCCACACTAGCAGGCTGCAACTGTATTCATTGCATACAGTTGCAGGGTGTTTGCAGAGTGGCCCCATTCACTTGAAAGGGTTGCGATCACCCACCAAAAGCGCCAGGGGGTATAATTCTTGCCACAGCATGTGTACACCCTTGGCTGTTGCCTCTGCAGCTAAAGGGTGTAGGGACGAACGCATGTAATGTGGGCTGTGCAATAAGTAGATGTGACTTTGAAAGGGCATCCTTCTTTATACCACTTCCTCACTACCTATCACAGTTTCAGAAGCCCAAAAATGCCAGGATAGTACACAAAACCCCCCCCCCCCTCCCAAATGACCCCTTTTTGGAAAGTAGACACCCCACGAATTTGAAAAGAGACATGGTGAGTATTTGCAGATATTATTTTTGTCAAAGGGTTTTGAAAAAGAAAAAATGAAAAGAAAAAATACATTTTCATTTTCTTTCTTCGTTTTCCAAAAACTTGTAGCAACAAATGAGATCTGCAAAATACTCACCATGTCTCTTAGAAAATACCTTGGCCAACATTAGAAGCTTATGCCAGACATCACCCCACTTTTCTAACCACTTTTTTGCTAGAAAAATTACTTTGAACCCCCAAACATTATATATTTTTTAAAAGCAGAGGCCCTAGAGAATAAAAAGTGGGTGTTGAAAAACTTTTATGTCACACAGTATTTGCGCAACAATTTTTCAAATGCAAATTGTTTGGAAAAAAATACACATTTTAGAATTTTATTATACAAAATATTGCACAATTGTTTGAAATAATATAAAAGATGATGTTACGCTGAGTAAATGGATACAAACATGACGCTTTAAAATCATACACGCCCATGCAACGGTGACAAATTACGTAAATTTGTAATATCCATAGGCGACGCTTTAAAAGACTTTACAGGTCACCACTTTAGATTTACACAGGAAGTCTAGTGCTAGAATTACTGCCCTGGATCTGACATTTGTGGTGATAGCTCATATGAATGGTGCAATTTCTACATAATGCCATAAGTCCACTGCTTGCATTTGCGCTGTGAGCGATGGGGGTGGGGTGAATTTTTTAAATATTTATTTTGCTTTTTTAAAATTATTTTTACATCGTACCTTTCTTCTTTTTTTTTTTCCTGATCACTTTTATTGTTATCACGGGAAATGAAAAATATCCTCTGTGATAGTAATAGGCAGTGACAGGTATTCTTTTCTCTAAATCTCTCCTCTGCCTTAAAGCATCTGATCACACCAAGATCGACGTGATCAGATGCTTCCCAATTCTAAAATGGTGCTGTTTATATCCGGTGAAACGGAAATGATGAATGCTCGTAGCTTCTGGTCTCTTAGTGCAAAGAGATGACTGGAGGCATTCCAGCCTCCGATCAACCCTATTGTCAGCCAGTGGAACTGCCAGCTGCATTTGTGGATTCCCCGTTGGGACAGGAGAGCCCAAGAAAACCTTAGAAGGCAGCGGGAGGGGTGTAGGAATTCCTTCCCGCTGCTTGTAAAAGCAATTCAGTGGCTAATTATCAGCTAGGACTGATTTTACATGAAAGCCGACAGCAGAAAACAATACCAGGATGATGCCTGTAGCTGCAGGCATCATCGCAGTATAACCACTCGAAGTCAATATTGTCAGGGCTCCCAGGTATGACCAGAGGTGTGTGACTGATGCAGGGAAACGCAGACTTCAGATATGTGATAAACAATACAATTTATTAACACTAACCATACAAACATAAACGCGTGCAATACTAAACATAATACAGTGCAAACAAACCAAACCAAACCACCCACAGATAACAGTACATACAAGCAAGCGTCGTCAGGCAGGCCGGGTCAATATCAATTGGGCAGGTAGGTACAGGGGGAGCAAGCAGAGAATGGTCGGGGTCACAGGCCAGGTTCAGCAGGTAGCAAGCAGCGTAGTACAGAGGGTCAGGCAGAGGGATGGTCAGGGTCACAAGCCAGAGATCAAAACAGGTAACAAGCAGCGTAGTACAGAGGGTCAGGCAGAGGGACAGAAACAGGATGCAGGACAGATACAGGGCCCAGGACAAACACAACACCAAGGCAGAGTCTGTGGGTCTGGCCATCCTTAAATACCCCGCATCATCAGTTCCAGGTGTTAGCTGGCTGAAAGGTTGAGTCTCTGATTGCTGGGAGCACCCGCTGGCCAGCCCTGGTACTGCAGATCAAAAGGCAGGTGAGTCCCACCATTGCTGGCCAGTCATTCCTAACAGTACCCCCCCCAAGGAGCGGCCTCAGGACGCTCCAAACAGTCCTAGCTGGGCAAAATGTTCCACCGCCCGGGTCTGGTAACTGGCGGGATATCAAAGACTGGCACACGGGCAGGACTCCGGGCAGCGGCACACCGGGCTGGACTCCGGGCAGAGGCACACCGGGCTGGACTCCGGGCAGAGGCACATCGAGCAGAGGCACACCGGGCAGAGGCACACCGGGCCGGGCAGAGGCACACCGGGCAGAGGCACATCAGGCAGAGGCACATCGGGGCAGGACTCCGGGCAGAGGCACATCGGGCAGGACTCCGAGCAGAGGCACACCGGGCAGAGGCACACCGGGCAGAGGCACACCGGGCAGAGGCACACCGGGCAGAGGCACATCGGGCAGAGGCACATCGGGCAGAGGCACACCGGGCAGAGGCACATCGGGCAGGACTCCGGGCAGAGGCACATCGGGCAGGACTCCGGGGCAGAGGCACATCGGGCAGGACTCCGGGCAGAGGCACATCGGTTTACCAGGCGAAGCAGCAGGGCAGAGGCACACCGGGCAGAGGCACATCGGGCAGGACTCCGGGCAGAGGCACATCGGTTTACCAGGCGAAGCAGCAGGCAGCGGGCCACCAGGCGGAGCAGCAGGCACCGGCCCCCCCGGGCGGAGCAGCAGGCACCGGGCCCCCGGGCGGGGCGACATGCATCGGGCCCCGGGCGGAGCAGCAGGCACGGGCCCCCGGGCGGAGCAGCAGGCCACCGGGCCCCCGGGCGGAGCAGCAGGCACCGGGCCCCGGGCGGGGCGACCGGGCCCCGGGCGGAGCAGCAGGCACCCGGGCCCCCGGGCGGGGCAGCAGGCACCGGGCCCCCGGGCGGGGCAGCAGGCACCGGGCCCCCGGGCGAGGCGACAGGCGTCGGGCCCCCAGGCGGGGCGACAGGCGTCGGGCCCCCAGGCGGGGCGACAGGCTTCGTGCCCCCAGGCGGGGCGACAGCGTCGTGCCCCCAGGCGGGGCGGACACGCGTCGTGCCCCCAGGCGGGGCGACAGGCGTCGGGCCCCCAGGCGGGGCGACAGGCGTCGGGCCCCCAGGCGGGGGCGACAGGCGTCGGGCCCCCAGGCGGGGCGACAGGCTTCGTGCCCCAGGCGGGGCGACAGGCATCGTGCCCCCAGGCGGGGCGACAGGCATCGTGCCCCCAGGCGGAGCGCGGCGGGGCGCCGGGACCCCCAGGCGGAGCGACAGGTCTCGGGCCTCAGGCGGAGCGGCGGGCGCCGCGGACCCCCAGATGGAGCGACAGGTCTCGGGCCCTCAGGCGGAGCGGGCGGGCGCCGGACCCCCAGGCGGAGCGACAGGTCTCGGGCCCTCATGCGGAGCGGCGGGCGCCGGACCCCAGGTGGAGCGACAGGTCTCGGGCCCTCAGGCGGAGCGGCGGGCGCCGGACCCCCAGGCGGAGCGACAGGTCTCGGGCCTCAGGCGGAGCGGCGGGCGCCGGACCCCCAGGAGGAGCGACAGGTCTCGGGCCCTCAAGCGGAGCGGGGGGCCGGACCCCCCCAGGCGGAGCGACAGGTCTCGGACCCTCAGGCGGAGTGGCGGGCGCCGGACCCCCAGGCGGAACGACAGGTCTCAGCCCCCAGGCGGGGCGGCGGGCACCGAGTCACCAGGCACAACCGTGGGCTCCGAGTCAACTGGGATGACCGCTGGCACTGGGTCAGACATTGGATCGTCTGGCTGGACAGCGGGCATCGGGTCACCAGGCATCAGGTCATTTGGCTCGACAGCGGGCACCGCGTCATCTGGCAAGGCAGTGGGCTCCGAGTCAACTGGTATGACCGCGGGCACTGGGTCAGACATTGGATCGTCTGGCTGGACAGCGGGCACTGGGTCACCAGGCATCAGGTCATTTGGCTTGACAGCGGGCACCGCGTCATCTGGCAAGGCAGTGGGCTCCGAGTCAACAGGCACGACAGTGAGCACCGGGTCATCAGGTACAGGATTGTCTGGCTCGACAGCGGGCATCGGGTCACCAGGTATGACAGCGGGCACTGGGTCACCAGGCATCAGGTCATTTGGCTCGACAGCGGGCACGGATCAGGTACCGGATCATCTGGATCAACAGCGGGCATCGAGTCAACTGGCCTAATAGGATCGTCAGGCTGGATCAGTTCATCATGCTGGGTAGAGGCATCAGGCCGAGTAGAGGCAGGAGTAGAGGCTTCAGGCGAGTAGAGGCTTCAGGCCGCGTAGAGGTCAGGCCGAGGTAGAGGATCAGCCGAGTAGAGGCATCAGGCCGAGTAGAGGCCTTCAGGCCGAGTAGAGGCATCAGGCCGAGTAGAGGCTTCAGGCCGAGTAGAGGCATCAGGCCGAGTAGAGGCTTCAGCCGAGTAGAGGCTTCAGGCCGAGTAGAGGCTTCAGGCCGAGTAGAGGCATCAGGCCGAGTAGCAGGCTTCAAGGCGAGTAGAGGCTTCAGGCCGAGTAGAGGCTTCAGGCCGAGTAGAGGCATCAGGCCGAGTAGAGGCTTCAGCCGAGTAGAGGCTTCAGGCCGAGTAGAGGCATCAGGCCGAGTAGAGGTTTAAGGGGTTAAAAGGGAGGATAGGTGCGCGGTGGGAACAGGGTACTGACATGCGGGGAGATGCGGGCAGGAGGATGTTGGGGAAAGCAGGAAAAGAGTTTTTAGGAAATAATTAAAGCGGGTGGGGCTTTGTAAGCGATGAGGCTGGGTGCAACAAAACTGCCCTGCTGCAGTATGGGGTTTAACAAAGTGACTTACCAAACCGTTGGTCAAAGAGTACTGGTTTAACAATTCCCTTTTGCTGTGGGGGAACATGTGGAATACCTCCGAAAGTAACCCCTCATCCTCTAATAACCACACCCGGGGCTCACCCGGTCTGCACTAAATGGTGCAAAAATTTTATCCCCCTTCGGGGGAAAACCCGATGAAACCCAAACCCGCAACAAACCCCAATCAAAGGTGCACCTAGAGAATCGTGCCCCGATTACTGAACATGAGCGAGCCCTAAACATTCTAGCAGTTCATCCCCCGGGGGTATCCTTCAGAGTCTGATAAGCATACTCCCGGTCACAAACACGCAGATAAAATATTTAAACCCCACAAAATCCCTCCCTTCCATCCAAGCCAAGATGGCTTCCCGTGAGCCCTTCTGGTAGGATTGGGCCCTTTGGGGAAAGTCAGGGGTCCAGGTATGACCAGGGTGTGTGACTGATGCAGGGAAAAGCAGATTCGATATGTGTAAACAATACAATTTATTAACCTAACATACAAAAATAAACGCAGTGCAATCTAAACAAAAACGTGCAAACAAACCAAACCAAACCCCCCACAGTAACATACATAAAAGCAAGCGTCTCAGGGGGGGCCGGGTCAATACAATTGGGGGTGGACGGGGGAGCAAGCAGAGAAAGGGCGGGGTCCAGGGCCCGGTTCAGCAGGGGCAAGCAGCGTGTACAGAGGGGCGGCAGAGGGAGGTCAGGGTCACAAGCCAGAGATCAAAACAGGTAACAAACGCGTAGTACAAGGGTCAGGCAAAAAGGGACAGAAACGGATGCAGGGCAAACAGGGCCCCGGACAAACACAACACCAAAGGGGAGTCTGTGGGTTGGCCATCCCTTTAAATACCCCAGATCTCAGTTCCAGGTTTAGCTGGGTGAAAGGTTTAGTCTCTGATTGCTGGGAGACCCGCTGGCCAGCCTGGACTGCGATCAAAAGGGGGAGTCCCCCCATTGCTGGCCAGTCATTCCCAACAAATATATTGAACTGTACAAACACTTACTAGTAATGGCGGGGATCACGACCATGTGTGGGGGCAATCCCAAAGCTGCCTTGGGTTGGAGGGGGCCCCTAACTGCCCCCCGAGGCTTTTTTGGATTCACTGTGGCAGTAATACAGTGATCAGAGAATAATTCTATATACTGCACTGTACTAATGGCATGGTGGGTGATGAGGGGGATCAAAGTGTTAAAAGGGGCTCAAAGGGTTTTTAAATTTCAAATTAAACGTGTGGTGTAAAAAAGTAGGCTTTTTAACCCGTGTCGTGTTTGTTCTTCCTTCCCGGACAGCATAGGGGGCAGCGGGGGGCCGCACACCTGGAAATAGAAAGCGAGTAAGATTACGTCCGCTTTGCCAGAGCTGCCCCCTCACCTGCAATTGTTGGTGGTGGGGGAGCAGTTAAAAAAAATTCTTTTTTTTAAAGGGTTTCCTAGTAACAAGTACTACTCTGGGGGGGGGGGGGGATCAGGGTTTTTTTTTTTTTTTTGTGCTTTGCATTTATAACAATGAAGGGCATTGCTCTGCACCCCTAAGCTTGCTTTGAACTGTCATGAATGTATTAAGTTCATGACGTTCAATATAAAAGTGTCTGTGATTGGTTCCAGCTGGTCAAATGGAACGGGGTGTAATTGGCCCATGTGTCATGTGAGAGCTGTGGCCAGTCACAGCTCAACAGGAAAAGAATCAAAGTTTTTTGAAGCAGATTGGGTCATAAAAATTTGCGTCAATGTGAAATGTGATCGCATAGCAATATGATCACCGGGTCCCTTTCCGGGGTTCTCATCTGCTGTATTGACAAAGGACCAGCGACATCGGGGACATTACTGGTCCTGTAGCTGCCGCTCAATTACAGTACATTGTGGGGCCGCGGCCTGAAAGTGGTTAACCTCTTGGGGCCGGCTGAACGCAAATAACGGGGTCGGGGCCTGCGGGGGCGGGGCCCCCACATTTTCGTTCTATTAAAATAAAAATGTGCTCCCGTGCACAAGTCCGGGACTCACAGAAAAAAGGGCCCCTTCTCTTTAGATCGGGGCCTTTCCCCCATATGTGACGCTGGATGGTGTGCACATGACCCAAAAACCCCCCCCCGTCCCCAGCTTCTGAAACCCTTAAAGGGGGGCAGGCGCCCGCGCCCAAAGGGGGTTTAAACTTTTTTATTTCATTCCCCGTTCCTCCCCTCCAAACAAAAACAGCTAAAGGATTTTTTTTTAAAACTGAAGTTTAGCTACAAAAAAAAAACTTCTTTATACCAGGGGTCTTGAAATTAATCCCAGGGTCGAATCATAAAATG